GTGTGACTGTAGATCCAGAGGAGAAGCAGGTGGCCTAGGTTCAAATCCTGCCTCACAAGGAACATTTTCCAGCCTTGTGATCTTGGTCTTTTTGTTTTTGCTTCCCTCATCTGTAAAAAGGGAAGAATAACGGTCTCTGCTGCATTTAGTCGTTGTAAGGTCTGAGTTGACACATGTAGAGTACTCAGAGCCGTGCTTATGCATGCTAAGTTCTCCAGTTTATTATGATTGTTGTGTTACAGGCATAACCACAGACAGGAAGGATTTCCTTTTAATTTCTTTTAGTCCCCTAAAAGTATTCTATAAAAACCATGGGTTAGGAACAAGTCCAAAAAGTTATTCTAGTTTATGTTCTTAACAAAATTTACTGGAAAAATCATGCAACTCCTATTTACTGAACTCCTGCTTTGAACAAGGAGCTTTGTCAGCTAATACCAGCATCCCTGCTCGGATCAACCTACCTTTGCCCAGAGGCCTGGACCACTTTGCAGCTCAGCTCCAAGTGGGGCTTGGAAGGAGGCCCCACTTGCAGGCCTCCTACAGGCCAATCTGCTCAAGATGGCAAATGCCATGGACTTTCCTTTACAGCAGCTCAATAATGGGTATCTTAAGGCTGGGTGCATGGCTCAAGTGGTAGAGGGCTTGCCTAGCAAGTGCGAGGTCCTGAGTACCATCAAAAAAAAAGGGTATCTTAAGGCAAACTAAAAAAAAAAAAACAAAAAACTTATACATCTATTGGAACATTACATGGTACCCCATAAATAGGTACAATTTTATAAAGGCAATTAAAATAAATCTTTGTAGATGAAAAACAAGTTGGATAGCACTGACTGGATTTGCTAATAACCAGTTTAAAGTCATCTCAGAATGACTGTTCTCCCCACTTAAGCCCAAACCAGGGAAAATGAAGTTGGAATGCGTTTCCCCCAAATGATCTCAGGAGCAGGAATTTCAGTTCTGACTTATTGGAAAGTGTACCTTGGTGAGTGGAAAGAGCCCTGGGATGAGAACTGGGAGATCTGGCTTTGGACTTTTTGGTTTGAAGGATGTTCCTGGACTCCCCAGGTCTCATTTGCTCTATGTGTTCCAGGGAAATTCACCCACACACATAAGGCATTCAGGGTCCTCAGTGACCTGAGCCCATAATCCTTCCAGCTTGGAGCTCAAAACCCTGGAAGAAGGGTGGCTGTGGAGTGAGGCCAACTCTGCTACTTCTCAGTTGCACCCAATGGAGCATTTTCCTTTTAATGCCCCCAGATCGGAGAAGCAGGGATAGCATGCATACCTGGCAGGGTTGTCACTCAGGTTAAATAAGGTGATGCAATGGAGACCCTGCTTAGTGTCCACCACTGGGAAGAGTTTTATCCACATACAAACCAATCTCCCATCTCTTCCCAGGCAAGCCCCACAACCCTAGGGCAGTGGTTCTTTCCCACAGGGCCGTAGATTATGGCAGTCTTCTGTCTAGGAAGTCCTTTTGGCCTACCTATCAGATATAATCCTATCCACCCTATAAGGCCCACTTCAAATGCCACCTTCTCCACACAGCTGCTCAGAAGCTTCTCAGCCAAAGCAAACTCCTTATGAACACCCACAGCACATGGGCACACACATCCACCTTTTCACATTACTAGCCACACATCTTATCTCTTCTCTGTGATGGCAAGAAGTATGTGGTACCCCCACCCCAAGTTTCTAGCACAGAAGAGGCCATGATATCAACTAAGAACCTTCTAGAACTGCAAATTCTCAGGTCCACCTCAGGCCTGCTGAATTAAGAATCTGGGAGTAAGAAATCTGTTTTAATAAGTCCTCTGAGAAATTCTGATGCCCACTGAAGTCCAAGACTATTGGAATACAAATCTGCTGAATGGCTGACAGAATGAATTAAAGTTCGAATACATGGAGGTAGTCATACCAATTACCAAGATGTTATAGCCTCAACCACTGTACTGGTTAAGTGGGTTGTTTTTGTTTTGTTTTGTTTACCATACTAAGGTTTGAATTCAGGGCCTCATGCTTGCTAGGCAGGTGCTCTACCACTTGAGCCACACCTTCAACCCTTTTTGGCTTTTTAGTTATTTTTCAAATAGGGTCTCCTGTTTTTGCTCAGGTGGGCCTTGGACCACAATATGCTTCTTAACACATTATAGAGATGCACCACCACACCCAGCTTGTTGGTTGAGATGGGGGTCTCATTAACTCAATCTACCTTTACCTCATTTCCCAAGTAGCTGGGATTACAAAGGTGTACCACCATGCCCAGCCCAAAATAGGACCTTCAATTCCTGTCTCATGCAGGCCCAATAATTGGTTTAGGTTACAACAGCCCAAAAGCTTGCTAGTCAAAGCTCAAGGTCAGAGTGTGCTAGTATGTCTATGTAAAGTGTGTGTGTAGTCATCAACACACAGGAAAAGTCAGTTTAAGAGAGGTAAAAGGGTTGGTGGAAACAGCATTTTTCTCAAGGACTTTCTGTAGGCTGTAGGCTACAGTTAAAAAGTAGGCTACAGTTAAAAAGGCACCTTGCCTGAGGAAGACTCTGCCAACTTTTTTTCTTCCAAAGGAAGGAGAGTGAGACACCAACCCAAAGCCTGTTATTTTCACATTTCTGGCAAAGTTAAGAGGCAATTAGAGGGAACATGATTCAAAGAAACAAAAAGTGTAGTTTTCAGCATTTGGGATGTAGAGGCAGGAGGACTAAGAGTTCAAGGTCAGCCTAGGCTATATAGTGAGTTCTAGGCCAGAATGGATTACACGGTGAGATCCTATCTAAAAAAAAAAAATTATATATATATAGCTTTACTGAGAATTTCATGGCTCACTCCAACCCCCAACCTCTTCTAGCAGAGGCCATGACCTGAATCAGGAGGAAAATCAAAGAAGCTCCTGAGAGGGACAGAATATACACTGGGCAAATCCTGACCAGAAAGCCACTGCTGGGCACAGTAAGAGGAACATTTTGCTTTTATGGTCTGCGTCCCTCTAGAATTTGGAAAGCATATGCCAACCTGAACAATGGTTAAGTCCTTTAGCCTCACATAAATGTTTGTTTCTCGTGAACCTCCTCCTTTCCCCATAACTGAGCATAACTGGGGAGACAGTGGGCTAGCTCTTCCTTGGACTCTAAGTCCTTGGGGTGAAGCACAGCTTCACAAACAATCTCCCTGCCATGTGGGTCTCCCTGTCCCAGCCACAAACCTCCCACTCCTGCGGTTCTGGTGACCCAATTCTGGTGGCTTCAAGGTCTGCTCTGTAGACGACCCAGGAGGCCTGTAAATCTGAATTGGAGCCATCAGCAACTCTGTTCCTTTCCACAGCGGATGCTGCCTGGGCTGGGCCCCAGAAAAACAAACTGCAGCTCTGGGGCTTCTTGGCAGGCCAGCTTCAGCTTTTGTTTTAACAAGGGGTGGGAGGGAGAATTTGAACCCTGTGGTTATCTATATTTTAAAAAATTTAAACACAGTCAGTCCACCTGCTTGGCACTTCATGTTCTTAGTCAGTTTCTCAGCCCTATCCCCTCTAAAATAGCAACAATTCTGTACCCTTTTTTGTTGCCGCTTGTGTACATGGAGGCCTGGTGGGAACCTCAGGAGCTCTGTCCACTCCTCCTGCAATGGACTTTCCTCTGAAAAGCAGATGAGACAGTCCTCAGTCCCCAAAAGGGAAAGGCAAGGGCAAGGTTCTATATGGAGGACCCACCCTGTTGATTATGAGAGACAACTGCATTTCATAGCGACAGACTTCTCAGCCAGGAGTCGGATTGCCCTGCCAGACCAAATAATAGTCCTTGCTGCTTTCCCTACCATATTGCTGACAATGGCGAGGGGCTGAGGGTGAGAGAGGAAGGGAAAAAGTCCAGGGGTAGCAGTGGAAGTAGGGACAGAGTTTGACAAAAAGCCCAAAGTTCATTTCCATATGGAGGCAGGGGTTCAGAATCATCTGCAACAACAGTTTACACTTTCCTCGGTCAAGATACAGTTGTAAGGGCTGGCAGAGTAGCTCAAGCAACAGAACATCTGCCTAGCAAGCCGGAGGCCCTGAGTTCAAACCCAGTACTGCCAAAAAAAAAAAAAAAAAGAGAAAGAGAGAGAGAGAGAGACAGTTGTGAGAACCACTGCAATGTCAGTGACCTGGGGGCTCTCTACTCTAAGCATGCCCCTAGTCTCCCACTCTTTGTATAGCAACTTACACCACATTGTCTCATCTGAATTCCAAAAACATCAGCGTACAAAGTGTGTCAGGTGAAGCCACCCTGAAGACCACAATGTCACCACTGTTGTACAGCTATGGAAAATGGCAAGTGGTCCCATACTCAACCTAACCAATGGCAAATGAGGATTGTCTCCATGTGGCATTCAGCTGACAGCCACAGGTTAGGTTCACTGGAAATGCCTAGCTAGCTGCTTCCGTTTGAGAACAGGGGAAGGAGCACAAGAGACTGAACATCAAGACTCCCTCTCTCCAGAAGGACGCCACCAACCGAGAACTAGGGGAAGAGAACTACTCTGAGTTGCCTCTCAGAAAGAGGCCGCTCCATGAGGCTCTATGGAGAATTCTGGACACATGGTGGGTCCTATACTAAAATGGCACTGGGGCTAGCCTACCTAAAGTTCAGCCTGGCACCCAAAGCAGCTTGGAGGCAGCAACCTCAACAAAGAGGACAAGTCTGGACCTCTGAGCCCAGCTTCCACAACAACATCAGCAGCTCAACACATGGAGGAAAGGTATCAAGGAGAATGCAGGCAGGAGCACCAGCAGCAAGCTGGCAACTGAGGCCTCAAAAGAGGCTCAGACCATTTTTCTTGGTCTTTAGCCCCAAGGGTACCAGAACTCTCCTGCACTACAAAGGAATCATTTCTGGAACCCACAACAAGTTTTTCTACTCACCAACACTATCCCCAAGAGAATCAGAAAAGGCTGTCCAGCCCACAGTTTCCCAAAGAGCAGAGGCTGTAACCAGGACCCTGGGATGCCAAGAATCCCTTGAGCAAGGACTTACACCAGAGTTCATAGTAGTAGTTGCAGCACTGAGACTGTCCACAGCAGTGTCCTGTATCACAGATGTAGCTTTGATTGTTGGTACCCACACAGGCTTCTTTATCCTAAAAAAATAAAGAAGCATTTCAGCATAATAAATGACAGCTTTTAAACATCACTTTTCTCCTCCTCCTCTTCTCCCTGGTTATCTGCTTGTTCATCCCCAAAACGGTGCCAAGGATTATTCCATTAAAGACACAACATAAAAAGAGTCACATAATGACAAACAGAGTTTAGAAAAACAAATAGGTTTATCAGTCGGGGAGGAGATCCAGCACATGAAACCAAGCAGTAAAGAGTGAGGCTCCCCCAGACAGAGCAGAAAAGAGTTGCCTCAATTTCTTTACGTCTAAGAAGAAACATTTTGTGTTCATGTGTTAAAATTGGCTGATAGGAAGGTGATGGTTCTCCTGTGATTAGCAGTAGGTTTTATATGAAACCACGTTTCGGTGAAACTTCAGAGACTCTATGATTAGCATCTAGTCAGTCACTCCATTTTCCCTTCAAAACACATGTTCTCCAACATTACTTACAGAGAGGGTCAAAGGGTTTAAAAATAAAACAAAACAAAACCTGCTCCTCAAATCTTCACTCTTCAGAATAGGTGAAGCCTGGTCAGGTGACCTCATCCAATTTCAATTTGCTAGGTCATTTTTGCTTATCAAACCATCTCTTAAGAATCCTGACTGAACCTGGGTTTTATACTGCCCCTTGTCAGGGACAGCTACATAAAGGGCACTGCTGAATAACCATCTAGCAGCTTGCCAACTTCTGTTTATAGCACTGGTGGATGAGGGTGGAGGTGAGCATTTTTTGATATACATATTTCACATCTAAGATATGAAATGCCCTATCAGCCAACCTTAACCTCAGCTTCAGCCCATAAGTACTTTGGGCTACCTCCAGTCATCTGAAAGTAATCTGCTGTATCTGGCTTTGATACTTGTTTGTTCATTTAGGAGGCACACAGTCTGCCAAGCACTGTGTTGGGTACAAGGAATACAAAGATGAAGACATTGTTTCTATCTTCAAGAAGCTTAGGGTTAAGAAAGAAAACCCTGCTCAGCAAAGAAACTCAAACCACAGGATTGTATTTGCGACTCCTCAGGCTGACCCTGCCCATGGCACACATCCGGGCCCACAGCTGCCAGTGGAAACTTAAGTCACATGGTCAAGCCTCCTCTGTGGGACTGGCTTTACTACACTGTCTTCTTGGCCATGGCTATACACAAAGCACTCCAGTGACTGTCTACAGGGCCTGAAGCCAGGCAGCAACAGTACAGGTACCTGAAGCCACCCGGAGAAGACAGGAGAAAGGACAGGGCTATACCCCAGATCCCTGGCTTAGTGCAAGTTCCTACCACACATCCTTAGGTGTTTCTTGGTCTTTAACCATCTCATATCCTGGGATAGGAGAAGAAAACATGGGAAAAGCCATTTTGTAAACTCTGACAATGAGGGTTTCATGACATTGCAAATGGAGTTCTTTGTTGTCATTATCCTAAACAAAAAGACACTAGCAGGTGGCTGTCCAGCTGGAGGCTCCCTCAGAGGGGCTGGTGGATGTGGAGAAAACATAGCAATGCTTGCTGCTTTTGCTAATACCCAGCCTCTCCAACTTCAGAGCAAAACACTCCTTTCATAAGGACATCCGAAAGTTTCTCCCAAGTTCACCAGGCCTGCAAATACCATTCTTCTGGTACTGGCTTGTAAGAGCAAGTTCAAAGTATCCACATAGTTTCTAAAAGAGGCTGTGCTGCATACACCCAAGCACATGAAAGAATTTAGTGACCCTTCTGCCTGGGGAAAATTCACCAGATGCTACGTGAGGCAAGGCATGCAATGGAACATGCCTGAAATCTAAACAAGTGGCATCCTTATGACCTACTGGTGTCAGCTTTTCTTTTGGCTCTTCCATGCCCCGAGGCAGGAGGCCTGGTATAAACAGAATGCCACTGGGTTTGCCACCCCACCTCCACTTTCCCAGGGAGAGCAGAACAGTTAATGGCACCACGTGATCCAGTTCCTCAATCACACTTTAACCTATGATAGCTAGTTCCCTGTGCGGTTCTGCCTCTCCCAAATACAGGGTCCCCACGCTGCCTGGATTGGTCTTGGCTACAGGAATTGTTACTTTCTGCTGCAGGAGGAAGGAATGAAGGCAGGCAGTTAAAGAAGAGAAGAAGTAGGATCTGAGAGCATTATCAGTAAAGAAGTAAAGGAGGATTCAGAGGATGTGAGATGTGAGTGCGAGGTGATCTCCAGTAAGACCTGCTAGTATAAAAAGAAACCTGGCAGCTTTGGATTTGGCCCCAGCTCTGCCACTATAGACAAACAGGACTTTGGAACAGGACCTGGCCCTAGGACTAGTTAAAATGATCTCTAACTCTCCTTTAGCCCTAAGGCTTTTGGGAGGTTTTGCTAGGTAATGAACCCAGGGTTGCTCAGCACAGGCTCTGCTACCCTAAAATTTTCAATCTACCCATTCCCCCATCCTATCTCTGACCCAGCATCCTCAGACCAATACAAGACCTCATGAAATCTATGCCTCCTTTCAGTCAAGCCAACAGCAAAGAACACTGGTGTGGAAATGCTGCCTGGTGCTTTCTCATCCTTTCTATATGAGGAGCCTAATTGTAGATCACCCAGAGGACTCTCAAAAACCTCCAAGCAGCTCAGGATCCTCAAAGTTTAAGTGGTTAAGAGTCAGCTAGATCTGGGTTCAAATCCAGATCCTACACTAGGCCTATTTAACTGTTTAAGCTCCCACTCTCAATATTATTCTGTGTCATAACTGCTAGGCATGGAAGAACATCCTAACAACACTTTGCCTTACTTAGCATTATTTCAGAACAACAGTAAAGCTCACTGCCATCATGTGGGCTGCTCCAGATACATGAAGAAAAATAAAAATGCAATGGAATGAATGTGGAAAGGTCAAATATGTAAAACTCCCAGCACCCTTTATGATTACCCTTGCTTTCCTCCTAAGCATCTTCAAGTACATTATATGTGTATATCATTCAGCCCAAGTCCTGAGTAGTAAATATCCCTTCTGCTCCTCCAATTCCAGAGGATGAGTCCAAGAATGACCTGTGATCTCCCTGCAGGCAGGAGCTGTACCTTCTCATTCCCTCCACCATCACATCATAGCACATCACAGTGCTATGAGATGATGGCCATGCGGCCTCCATGAAGACAGAGAAAGCTAAGGAGAAGGACAGCCCATGTGTAGCATGCACTTCCTAGGTGCCAGACCCTGTTCTAAATGCTTTCCAGGCATTCTTTCATGGAAAGTTCAGAGCAACTCTAAGTGAACAGTAACAGGGCACTGAGGCCCAGAGAGACTAAAGAACTTGCCCAAGGTCACAAATCTAGGAAGCAGTCCCATCAAAGTTTTCTGACTCCAGATGCTGAGCTTTTAACTATTAAGCTATGGCCTGCTCGGGTAAAGTTATACCTTTTGGGCTATTTCCCATTCTTAACTGCTTAAATGAAAGTCCTAAACCAAACAAAATCAAGGATTTACCTTTGATGGAAAAGATAATGACTCGTCCCTGGGGACTCTAGACTTTGGGAACAGTATACCTTATCTTTTACTGAGCAGCAAGAAGGGGGTGACATGCTTGGGGCTCTTTCCTTCTTGGTTTAAAGGATCACATTTTCACATACACTTTTCTGACGAGAGGAATAGTATCTCATCCCAGTATGGAATGCAGGACCTTCATTCCTTCCTTCAGCATTCATTGAGTGCTTCACTGTACCTGCCCTCAGCTAGGCTGGGGAACACAATGAGCAAATAAGCAAAAGCTATCACAATCGCTGTCCTCACATGGCTTCTCAGTCTAAGGAAAGATGATGACATAACCCACAGAGAAAACTACAACTAAGTTTCTAAAAGATCAGCTCTAGTAGCTAATAAATAAAGTCCAGATTGGCTTCTGGGAGGAAGGTAGGCTTGAACTAAGAGAGCCAGGAAGTCATTATCTAGAGAAGAGGGACAGGACAAACATTCCACACAGAGAAAATGGTACCTAAATTCTTTGGCTAGAAGGAGATGATTGAAAAAGTAGGTAGGGAAGTTAGGTAAAACAGGGACCAGATAATGCTGGGAGGTGAAGATCAGAGTCGCACTTTAAAGTTACCTTTTTCTTGTCAATGTTTTCATTTGTACAAAACTCCATAGCTAAAAAAAAATAAAAAATTAATGCTAGAAACAAAGAACTTGACAAAAAGGAACTTTATATGAAAAATGAGTGCTCTTATGCTGAGGCCTTTCACCTGAGGAAAGGATCCTTGTTTGTTTGCTATAAGTCTGTTCTTCAACCCTGGTACCAGAGTGACCAGCAACAAGAGACAGAGCACACATGGTCACCAACAAAAAGCATAGGCACAAAAACAAAACGAAACAAATGGAAACAGTACGCCTTCTGCACATATGCAAAAAATTATCTCATGTCTTTAGTGGCACCATAAGCTGCAGGACTGACAACATTTTCCTTAACAGTTTCCATGTCTTGTAGTTACTATTCTTAGCTGAGCCACTGTAAAGGTCAATTTAATCAGTGTAAGAACTTTCTAAGTGCCAGCATAAAAGGAGACACTGAGCGGTAATGGTTCCCCAGGCATGGTTTTAATTTGCCAATTTATGGAGTTGGAAAACCCTGCTAGCAACTGGCTGATGGCAACATCATCTTCAGTTCCTTAGGAAAACACTAGAGTTTTCAAGTTCAAGAGTGAAAAACAGGAAAACTGAAGTCCTTCATCAGATGTTAAAACACAGGACACCAACTATTACAGCTGCTTGATATGAGTGACTTTGGAGCACCACCACTGGCTCTACTGCAAGAAGAACAATTGCTAACAGAAATGTTCAGCTCCCCAAATCACTTAACAACTATGCATTGCCCCCTCCACCTCACCACATGCTAGGCACTCTGTGGGATGCTATGGCTATGAGCAATGAGCAAGAAATATGGACTATGGGGGTGGAATTCTGCTTCTAACAATACAAGTAAGTAGGTAGCTTTAAAAGTTCTCTATCACAAAACTCCCAGAAATACTG